CTCCTTAGGTAGTTATCTGTGAAGGAAGCCCTGCCAAATACACTTGACAGCACAGAGAGCAGCAAAAGAACGCATTCATTTCAGCATGCACAGTCATAATTTCATAAACCAGACTTCCACTTTCAGCAGGCAGCACCTTCTAGGGAAACAGAAGACAACTTGAATTTTACCTGGCTTTCAAGCTCAGCAGAACTATCAGATGACATATCTTCAACATAATTTGATGGAAAATAGTGTTGTACTTTTTCTCCATAATCCCCCTTCCACCTGAATTTAAAACAAAAAGGACAGAGAGAGAACAAAGACCTTCAGTAGGTTATTAATGAAGCAATAATCTTCGAGAAATTGGTCGTTAATACCCAATACTAGCTTGCCTAGTTGGCTATCGCCAAAATAAAAGTGAAGTAGCAGCTAAAAGCACTAACAAAGTGATCATTAACATGTGATTTCAGAAGGATTATAGCTACTGTAAACCAGAATTAACGACTTAAGAGGTTTTTCCCCCTCCAGTACTAAAAATAATATTATGTGGTTGATAGCCTGCAGAAACCACAGGGAAACATTTCGATTCCCAAGCTTTCCAAGCAACTTGCACATCAACTGAGAAAGATAAGAAAGCAAGCCACTTGTGAAAGGAGACTATATAGATACCTAAAATAATAATTAAAAAAAAAAACACCACATTGTTTGGTCCCTAAGAAGTACTATGCAAAGCAAAGAAGGAAACCGAGTAATGACGACAATGATAATAGATGCCTGACTTCCCAGAAGATACAAGTGTTCAGGAAGGATGAATGTAGTAAAGAACAAATACTGGATACACTGGAATATGAAGGCTCTACCAGGCTGAGGTTATTGCTGTAGGGTAGGACAACGGAAAAGACGTGAAAAGAGACTTGAGGTTGGGTTTTTCGGTTTTGTTTAATACGATGGCATTAAGATTCATAAGACCACAGCTCACAAGCAGCAATCAGACAACAGGCAAAGAGTTTAAGAACTACTACCGAAAGCTGATTTTTTTTTCCTCCCTAGTAAGTCACTAGAAGTTCTCCTACAAGGAATTCTTGTCCTTACCAGCCTCCAGTTTCCTTTGTGACATTATGAATTAGAGCCCCTCGGCAGAAGCTCAGTTCATCACTTCTTTTGGCTCTGTAGTCATATAAGGCTTTCACTGTTCTCTGAGGCTTTAAGAGAAACAAAGAAAAAGGGTCAGGAGAGGAGGACAGGTCATAAAACGATCAATAATATGATCTTTAAAAGAAGGGGGGAATTGGATCCCTTTTTTGTTATGAAACTCAAAAAGCTTAATACTAAAGTTCCAGAGTGACATCTATTGGCAGAAGGAAGCAAGTGATGCTATTTAACATCTATTTTTCAAGTATTAGTTGGAAAAGAGAAGGAAAAAAACAAAAAACACTTTTTTTAAATGGGTGCTGCAACATAATTATGGTAAAACGAAAGCAGTGAGCATGTAATCCTCTGCCTTTGTTACTCATATTCAAACACAGTTGGAGCTTGCAGGCTTAGATGCAGTTTAAGAGCCTCCACTTCAAAACCACATCAGCTATCCAAACCAGTCTAATTTCCTTTAGGAAAAACTCCGGTTTTAGCAGGACAAAAATTTCTTTATCTTGAATTTACTACTACCCAAACTATTCAGCAGCAATGAAAATTCATTAGTCAAAAAGATTAAAAACAATTACAGTCACATAATTTACAAGCAGATGAGCTTTTGTCAGAAATTAGACAGGCCCCGTCAAGAATTAGAGATATGTAGATGTTTGCTGTGCCACTTGTGTTTAAAATCTTATATATACATATACATATATATATACATATATATATATATACATATATATATATGTATCTTAAAAGAAGACAAATTTAAGTAACTCTCCACTAATTGAGTACACTGCTTTTATATAGAAAACAAAGAAAATCTGCACCTATTTATGCATGCAGGCCACATTTGCTAGTAGAATTCTGATAATTTTGTGCGCAGAGAAACTGTGGTGCTCATTAACACATCCACTCAGGGTTTACATGTTATATTCTATTTCTGAAAATTTGGCCTCCTCAGATTTACTCATCTCTTTGTCTAATTAATTTCTGGGCACATCTACATAAGCATGCATGCCAAATCAAATCACCTCCACAGACTCAATAGCAAGGTGCCCAATTTCCCAGTGTAGGTGAATCAGTATAGGATTTGCACACAGAAAACGTATGCGTGCAAATTTCAAAGAGATGCTGGGAAAAAGACACACTCTTTAAAGTTCTGCTATCCAGCCCTCCATAAATCAAGTACACTAACACTTTTAATTATCCTTTTCATTACTGCTAACAGGAAACCAACCAACAATTATCATCTTTCCAGAAGTCTAAGAGAAAGTGTGAAGAACATCTTTCCTTAAGCATACCACTGTCGGGGTGATTTCACTGGGTTCCACATACATCTTGACATCATAGAGGGAATTAATATCTTTTTCCTTAAAAAAAAAAAAAACAAAACAGAACAAAAGTTATGAGAATTAAAAATTACAAAAATACTTACTGTCAATATAACAAGAAATCCATGTAGAAACCAATCTTTCTAACAATACTTGGGCAAATAGAAGAAGAGGGAAGCCAGACACCTATGTTATGCTCCTTTCTACAGCTGAGCGCGCAGCTTTGGCTTGTCTTTAACCTGTCTATGCCTCAGTTCAATCAACAGTGTAACAGTAATACCTCACAAAGACATCTCTTAATTCATCAAATGCTTACAAATAGCTTTGAGATTGTGAATGTCATTCTCTGTGCAACAGAGGAAGACAATACCCCCACTTATGATTTCTGTGTTATAGTGATAGCACTTCAGTTCCAGTAGTGGTTTCACTATTAAATAAAAATCCTAAAACATCAAAAGTTGTTTCAACATACGCAATCATACTTTTTTTCTTTCAGTATCTCCCCATGTTCCCATTTGGACATGGTCATAGGATACAGAACCCTAACAATAAGCAATATTATCAGAAATCATGACATCTAAAAATCATTTCAGCCCCTTTTAGTCTCTTCAGAAAAACAAAAGCACAGGCTTTGATTTCCTCAAGATGCCAGACCTGTTTTTCCTGCTTTTAACAAACATATACTTGAAAACAGAAAAGATATCTCATGCTTTCCAAATGCCAGTTACCTCAGTAAAGTTTTATCTTGTCAAAAACAAAAAAAAAACAAACAAAAATCAAAAAAATACATCCATCCAGAAAGTAGACACCTATCCTATGCTAATTATCTGGGCCCTCTGTTTAGTCAGTGGACAAAGGTAGGTACTTCTTGGGGAATTTTTCCTCGTACTTATCGCAAAGGCGCCTTCACTTCAAAGGCACCTCTCACTTCTCACTGCAAAAAGGCAGCTGGACACCATCCCCAAGATGCCTACAGTGAGGTGAGACAAACGCCACTGTACGTCCTGGGGAGGGATGCTGCAGAGCAATTCATTTTTTCTGAAACGCTTAGCGACTGGCATCTGAGCGATCATTTTAAGATCTAATAATAGATCTTAGTAATAGAAGAGAGAGCCAACTATGAGTGAGGGCATTATCAAAAACTCGTTTTATAGCAGAGTAGCAATGCCCAACTTTACTGAGCAGCTTTTCCAATAGAATCATGAGGAAGGCAGGAGTTTACCCATAAACAAAGATGAAACTCTTTCCTTCAAATACTTTGCAACAGAAGTCAGTTTAACCATCCCCATCTCAGAATGGGGATGGTAAGAAAACTCAGACACAGACTGAAACCATCTGCCTAAGCCCCCCAGAACGTCATTTATCATAGCCAGAACTGATCCCAGGTCTCCTAAGTCTAGATGTGGGATTTTGTCCTCTACAGCAACTGCTAAACTTATAAAGACCATCACTGACCGTGCTGTAGCGCTCTAGCAGCTCCTCAGTCACTGGGTAACGCAATTTCATTTTCCTGTACAGCGGATGCTTCTCATAGTATGTTACCAGCTCCACTAAACTTTCAAAATAGGCCGAGGTTCCAAGCACAAAGTGGCGGCCTTCTTGCTGAATTCGGAAGTGCTTCACTTTCCCCTCAGCTCTATAAAATAAGTTCAGGTGCTGTAAAAGGTGTTTGTACTTGTCCCAGTGAAATTTCCACGCTGCAAACGGGACCATAACTGCTTTGGCATTGTCAATATGCAGCCCAATTTCTCCTTTCCCCAAAGTCTTTTTTATTCAAATTAAATTCAGGTTGCCCAATTAAATGCATAAACACTCTCATTTTTCTACCACATACAGAGTCTTGGGCTAAACTCATGTGTTTGCCTATGTTAAACTTCCCTACTTTTTTTCCCCTCTATACATAAGTTTCTCATCACTTTCACACATGACTTTTTTTCAAAAAAAAAAAAAAAAGTCTCTGGTTAGACTGACAATCTTTCTGGAATTTGCTGTTGCTGATCTACAGTTGTTTCAAAGCAATAAGACACATTCTCCTCAAGATGAGTAGATGTTTTTTCCACCATTCTGATAACTACAGGAGTCAACTTTGCAAAGAAAAAAATTTTTCTTGTGTTTAAACATGAGATTCATGCTTTCACTGATGACAGTAAAGCCATCTGCTGACAACCTTTCTGCCCATAGAAGATCCCTGAATGCTTTTCAAATTGTAGCCGTTTTGGGACTCCTAATTTTCCACTTACTGTGAAACAGTTTAATTGAGATCCTGCAGCTCAACAGACTTCAATATTCACCTTGCTAACAGCAGAAAGATTTAAACCAGTGAATTAGGCAATTCTGGACAACTTCAATACAGAGTAAGACATGTAAGTAAGAGAAAACAACTATTTGCTTTCCAAAGCTATTGTATACATTGCAGAAAGATGCATTTTCTGCATCTTGCCAACTTGATTTGAAGGCACAATGGAGAATACCACAACTGTATACATTTTATTAATGTTGCTACAGGAACCACAGTTTCAAAAATATTTCCCCTGGCAAGGAAATCACGCAAGTAGATAGAAACCAGTTTATTTTAACAGATACTGAATGAACTTCTGTTAGTTACATGACAGGGCGGGATTTCCAGGAAGGACCCAGAATCACTGCTGCATCAGCACCGAAAGGAACTTCAAAACAGTAGTAGTGGGGAGCTTCAAGGAAGTGAAGAAGGGCCACGCACAGGCCCACATGGGACGAAAGGGATAGTTAGCCCCCATATTTGTTTTTATAAAAGCATACAGGTTTATTCTGGTCACAAATTAACCGTTGTGCATATTCTCACATGTTTTGCCCCCAAACACACCTACTGCACAAATCAACCATGCAATTACTCAAACTTCACAAGCAGGATTTTCATGACTCCAGAAAGACGACAGTACTTTTTAAATGAGAAAAGCAGAACACTGAGGAACTTGTGGGTAATGTAGTCACATCCATATGACTATGACTTTTCCTACCTGAAAGTCATAGCAAATGAATCTGGTTCATCCCTCTTTCTAATCAGAAAGGCTCCATCTCGAGGAATTCGCATCAACATGTCTTCTGCCTCTCCCCGACTCAGATTACTATAATACCAACTACAAAAGTTAAGATCAAAAAGGACAAAGGATTACAAAGCTTGTCAAATGTCATTCAATAAGAACAGGCAGTGTCACTACCACTAGAGTCTCAAACATTACAGAAGTTAAGCATTATGTCTTGCTACCTATGACAGCAGTTGATTACAAAACACCAACATGGCAGCTTATTTGGGCTAAAACCACCAAGAAGATACCAGAACACCTTGTTTACTTAAAAGAATAAAACATAAATCAGCATTTCTTCCTGAAACAAAGGCATCGGATCCTGCTTTTAGCCTATCATTCAGTTTTCAGTAGTTGATTCAGAGTTTTGACGTGGTAGATATAAGGAAAAGCCTAAATATAGGCAAAAAAAAAAAAAAGAGGCATTCAAATTCTTTGATTCAGAGCTTGATTCTATCTCTCACTGTAAGGACGGGCCTATCCGATACCTAACATGCCTTCAGTGAAGCTATGACCACTAACACTGGCAGTATACCTCCACCTCCCCAGAAAAAGCAGGAAAGCTAATTCTTAAACTTTTCCCTCCCCTCACACTGGCTTCCCAGTTTAAAGTTACAGATGTGCATTTCACGTTCAAAGGAGGTGTCCTTTTTCTGACTGCAGAGAAAACAGAGAAAAGGACAGTGTCTACATAGTGTTCTGCCAGCAAATAAGTGCAAGCTCTGCCCAGGACCCACATCTGGCAAATACCAGTTGGAAATAAAAACTAAGTTACGCTGTTTCTTATCAGCATGGGACCAAGTTACGCTAACCAACTCTGACAGAGGGAAGGTTTGGGGGGGAAGGCGGGGGGTTAAGGAAACATAATTCAGCTTGGGCTCACTGCCGCAGTAATAGAGTTTCCAGATGGCACAGACCATGACCACTTAGTTGCCAGACCACAGCCATCTGCTAAATATCTAATCCAACCTGCTGGGCATCTTAAACACCGAGCAGAGAAGTAAGGAACTAGCGCACTTTCAAAGCATTACAGTTCTCACTGAACTTCCCAATTGCTGCCAGTAAATTGCTTTCCCAGGGGCTGCTCCCTGCTTTACCAGGCTCTCACAAAGTCAAGGATCTTGCTCAGTGTCCTTCAAGGAAGCTCATTCCTACAACACCTGCAAGCAAGCAAAACTCGGGTGTGCTCCAGAATCTGGATGAATTTTACATGAAAAAAAATCCATGACCATCCACAACAACGCAAAGAACTCTGACTTAACCACCCTGGCGCTTGCCTTCTGCGGTACATACTCTTTAGTCTCATGAGGGCTGGGATTAGGCACAGCATCAGTCAGACGCAGTTCAAACTCAGCACATCGCAAGTGGGCCTCCCTGTAGTGTTGAATGAGATCATAGATACTATCAAAAGTGAGGTTGTCCGTCAGGTAGTACTTCACATTGTCCCCATCACCTGAAGAACGGATACGGCAGTGCTGGACTCTACCTGACCTCCTGAAGAAATGAAGGAGATAAGGAAAAAAAGGTAATGTAAGAATTTTTCCTCTGAAGGGTTTCTTCACCCATTCCTAACGGGTTAATTCTATGTGGAGAGCTTAGGAAGAAGCAATAAATCTGTGTCTTAAAACAACCAAAGAGGGAAAAAAAAAAATTACAGGATCAAAACTAAAAATTTTCAACCAGCAAAGGTTTAAAACGTAGCAAACATTTACTCCCTGCAGAATTAGCTCAGATAAAACTCTGGCTCACAAATCCATCTGATTTACTGTTACTCATAAAGTCCCAGACAGAAAAAAGTCACTAAAAATTCTTTATTCTTCTCCCTCCAGAGGGATCCTTTTTCACCGAAAAGATCAATCTCTGATAATAAAAATAAACTCATGAGACTATCTGTTCAATATGGATACCAATAATTTATCTCAAAAATAAAAGATCAAATTTTGGCCCACTCCTTGCATAGATAACAAATTCTGCATCCTGCCAGAGCACTAAAGAAGAAGCAGCGGCATGGTGGGGGGGAGGGGAAGGGAGATGGTGAAAATCAAACTGGTCAGTTCTCTCTTGACAGCTCTAACACTTCAAATAGAGCGTACTCGAACATGATGCAATATGCTACCCTGAAGTTTAATCCAGAAAGTGTTCTTTCATAACCCCACCAATAATATTCTAGTAAAGAAAGCAACTCTTTATTTCTATTTCCACTTAGCTGTAAATGCATATTTAAAAAATAGAGTTATTTTTGTGCAGTGCAGTAAAATAAACAATACCGATGAAAAATGTTTAGGACAATCACCATACCAGAATGACAAGGTGCAATCATTAGGGAAAGCTTCACTTTCCCTCACTAGGAATGTTCCATCCTGGCCACCCATTTCAGCACAATATTCCTGGAGCAGCTTCTCAGCAGTTGTCCTCCCCTCCTTCATTTTCCCATGGAACCACTTCTCTTTTAAGTGCAGTTCAGTACGTTTTACCTCCTAGACCAGGAGAGAAGAATTTCTATAGTCCACTTCTAATGTTATGATTTTGATACAAAGTATTGCTTCTTGATATAACCATCATCTGTTTCAGGATTTCAGTTCATATCTTGCTCTAAACTCTCCCTCCACAAACAAGCTGACTACATCTATAGTCACACTGACTTTTCCCCAGCCAAGCCATTTCTTTGGAGCAGTGATCAACTTCAGCCCTGTTCAAATTCATAATCAACAGAAAACAGAAGAATGCAGCAATGTAAACACTGATTTATATTTTAAAAGTAAAGCAGCCTACTGCTAATCCAGAGAACTTCTATTCTGTTTTTTTTTTTTCCCAGAACCATCTGTATACTTGCTTACACATTAATTATTCTACTAACATTAACATCTAGGTGAATGAGCATGTGGTTCTGCACATGCAGACTGCAGATCTCTGAACCACACACATATATGTTAGCAACAAAAGAGCACGTATGGAAATCAGAAAGGTCTCAAGAAGAAACCATACTGAACATCACTGCTATTGCAGCCCTTAAAGGGCCTCATGCTTCTGCTTTAACATGGGCAATAGGCAGATAACACATGCTCACCTATGACAAACACTTTGATAACATGAAATGAACAGCATGTACTGCGTAAAAGGTGTGTTGTATTATTATGTATCAAACCTAATTTCGTCATACTGTGTAGTTTCAGAATAGCAGTAACAATTAGCCAATTAACTCGCAATAAAGACTTCGATCGTCAAGCGCACAACACATTAGCATTTAACTACCAAAATTATATTTCATTGCCCTTAAATTTCTCTTTATAAGCCCTAAGTTAGCCAAGGGACAAAGACTTTTTTTTAAAAATAAGTCCATGAGATTGCATAGGCAAAGGTAATTTTTAATTATTATTTGCAGATGCACTTATCTGACACAGATTCTCTACAATTTCAATAACATCAGCACCTGTAAATAGCGAAATAATCTGAGAGGAAGAATTTGACTTTAAAAAGCTTCTTTAAAAGCTCACCTTCTCAGTTTCATATTAAAGAGAAATGGATAACTATTCTCTTGATGCAGGTATGTCATTTCCCATCAGCATTAGCATCTGTACCCCAAGCAGCAGATGAGGAAGTATGAGACCTTATTAGACTTAGTTGCAAGCAAACAGCAAATACAATTAATACACAGCACCAGACTGTATCCTGAGTAAAGCTGTATCATTCTCTTCAAATGTGTTTCATGGAAGCAGAAAAGAACTTCTGTTCAGAAATCCTTAATAGAACAAATCTGTGTGTGGCTTCAGGCGGAAGAAAACCTCATTACAAAGCTTTCAAAACTGGTCACTTCAAAAGACTAATTTTAGTTTCTTCAGTCTAACAATTGCATAGAAATCCTAGAGTAACTATCTCTGTAATTGGGTGAAGGAATGGAATGAATAAAAAGAATGCACTTAAACAACAAAACAAAGCCATCACCTTTGAAGAATCTTCTTCAGTATTCTGTTCTATATCATCACTGAATGAAAGTTTTTCATCAGAAATAGCACAGTAGTGCCGAGTCCATTTCTAGAAGTTAAGACAGGTGTTAAAACCATTACCAAGACATAGAGCCAAATCCACTAATCACAGTTTCCAATAAGGTCTAACAATAAACAAAGTGCCTTCTTCCCCTCACTCATATTAGTTCAAGTGAGGATATTACTTACAAAAATATTGACAACATTCATGTACACTTCCAATATTACGTATCCTAGTAACAAACTCTTGCAAATGTCACATAAATTCTACCTGTTCTATTGTGTCCCACATGTAAAGTTCTCCTTGTTGCTTTTTTTCTTCTTTCTTGTCTTCCAGGTTCACATCAATGTCTCCTTTTGGCCCCAGCTTTTTATGCTTAAAAAAAAAAAGTATATAAAATTGGTCATACTATCTCAGTGTAACTCTGTATTATTGGATTTCCCTCCATTGCCCAGCCTTCTTCTGTTACTACCATAAAAAACAGCAGTTCTGCAAGGCTTCATGCAGTAGGGTGGAATTCATTGGCTCAAAATTTAAACCTCATACTAATGATTAAAAAGTTAGTAGAAGTACCAGTAAAGCAATGAGGAAACAACTATTTTGATAAGAGCTCACCATTCTTGAGAGGACAGAAAACATGAAGTGATGTTTGCCTAACAAAAAATAAGGCTAAAACAAGAATCACTCTGAAGAGAACAGCACATAGGGAAAGAAAAAAAAGAAAGAAAGAAAGAAAGAAAAAAAAAGAGAAAGAATAATTAAAATGAAGCAGAATTCATTCTCCTACAAGAAAAATGAGCAGAAGTGAAATCTTTTATGAGAAGAGGAGATAAGTTCTACTTTGTTCTCCCCCCAACATCTAAAGCCCCAACCCAGGCAGAACACTACACCTCCTGTGTAGAAAGAGAGAAGAGATAAGCCCAGGAGAGACACCTTGGCCCTGTCGCACAACCTATGCCAAAACTATGCAATCGTATGAAGGATGGAGAAAAGGGCAGGCTACTGCAGAGCTAGGAGCAGTGGCAGTGCTTGTAGAGGAGGGAAGACAACTCTTAATTCACAGCTGCTAAAAGCACATGGGGTTTCTTGGACAGGACACTTAGTCTGCGTGACAGAAAAACACAGGCCAGTACCCCAAAGAAGCAGAGTTTCTGTCATGTGTAACTCCTGCCATAACATACGGAATAAAGTCCTCAGTTACAAAGAAAAATCATGACAAGACAATTTGGACAATCCCAATGCAACAATGAAAAAGGAAATGAAAAGAAAGAGCAAACAGAACAAGTTTAAAAAGCCTACAATGCTAATCCTTGCAGAAAAGGTTGAACAGATGAAATGGCAATAGTTGGGCTGTTCTGAGAAGAGATTTTAAAGGAGGAGCCAGGCTGGCCACAGTATAGAGAGTAAAATAGGTAAGAATGGTTCTTGTTGTAATTTTTGCAATTTCCTTATTATAAAAGCATTCCTTCTTGAATAGCACATTAGCAGTGTTTGTAACTGATCACTGTCCTTTCAGATATGCCTGTTAGTATTTAAATTACAGGCTGAAACAGTAAGATGCAAGCTATGTGGAAAGGCAAAGCTCAGCAAAGCCTCCCTTGAATGTGCTCATGATACACAGTAGTTCAAGCAGCTAAAGGTCAAACTTCAAATACTTCAAGTGCAGTTAATTATGGGATTAATCCGCTCATAGCTAGTAGTCCTCAAATATATTCAGTTCTGCACAGCTTACTGTAGAAAGATTTCAGTCTTACTGCCTTATCCGAAAAACACCACAGGCACCTAAAGCAAGAATTGCCTCTGACTGTTTACAGACAACACTTTCCAAACAAAAGTCAAACAACACAACTAGCTCATTGACAGGTGCTGATCTACTTTTAAAGACTATTTAATGCTCTTTTAGGACAAGAATGATATTGATATGGGTGCTCTCTAGTGCACAATCACTATAGTTTGTGATTCCCTTTAAAACAGCTTTGCCATTTTTTTTCATGGCTACGCCTATGCAACTCTCATTCTGTGCTCCACAAGCCAACAGCAGAGGGGAAAAAAAATTCTAAGCACTGAGACTGAAATTCTCTACTTCCTGTCCCTGTGACCTAGCAGTGGGGTGCTGTCATTTCCAGGCCTGCATTAAAGCACTGTGTGCTTACTCTTGTTTCTTTTGTTCAGAAGTTTTAAGATATATGACACAGTACTGTCACAGGAGCTGGAAAATTCAACCATGGACTATAGTAATAGTTTGCTGAAGAGATTATAAACAGTCCTCAGATTCTCTGCCAAATTTTGCTCTTCAAAATGTTCTACTCCAGTTTCAATTTGAGAAGTCTTTCTTCAGTTTTCTGCCTCATGTTGCTGTGCAGCACGTAAGACGTAAAGCATCTGTACTGCATCTGTAAGAAACCCTTAGAGTGATTGCTTCCTATCAGTAAGACCTTAATTTTCAGAAGCAGCTGTCTAAACTGCATATGTAAATCGCACTCTCTGTATACAGGTTACTAAATACCCATCTATTTTTGTAATTTTCAAAGTAAGCAAACCTAACAACTTAAATCTGCAGGCTGCAGAGTGCTTTGGATTTCACTAGAATGAGACACGTTCTTTGAAAGACCAGTTAGCAACACTAATCTAACTTCCTGTTCAAGAACAAACTTTCAACATTTTACAGCAGGCCTTTACTGTACAAGAAGTCTGTGATGAGCATCTGCACCACTGAATCCTTGCTGAAATTCAGCACTGACATTTCAGGAGCTGGAAGACCTTTAGAAAAAACAGCTGACGCTTCACCTGGCGCTTGAACTAGTGACATTATTTGCAAAGAAAACCAAGAGCAAGCCACTTAATATGCATTTTAACAGAATTCCATAAAATGTTGCCAAACTCTAGTCATACATGCTTCTAGCATACGGAGTCTTATCTTCAACAAAAACCAGTAGCTAAGTTGTGAAGCCAGAAGTAGTACTCCTGGCTCCTGCTCTTGTTCTGCTATTTTATCTACTAGGACACGACGCAAGCCTGAAAACCTACCTTGATGATGATTTTTTCTTTCAGCTGGGTTGGTGATGGCAGCTGATCTGCACTGGCTTCAATGGGCTTCATTAAAAGCTGATCCCCAAACACCTCCTTGAACACTTTGGCCATGTGTCGCTGCTGTTCCACACTACAGTGCTCTTCAATTGACAGAATGACTGGGTATCTTTAATGAAGTAAACAAAGGTGAAAGTAGACATTCAGCTTCTTTTTGCTACATCTGGCAAAGCAAGGCAGATAGCCTACACCTTCCCTCCAAAAATCAAAAGAAACTTTTAAAGCAAACAAGACGATTCAGATCCCGATAATGAAAACTGAGGCAAAGGTGGCATTGAGTACCTCAGCCTTCTCCAGTCACTATGCCCCCTATTCAATTCAGCAGCCAGCCCACATTTTTCTTAGTCTCCCTTGAGGTGCAAGCATATCTGTAGAAGTCTTTCATGCTGACTTTCACATCCCTCAGCAATTTCATCTCCAGATAAGCTTCAGTTTTCCTACTTCTGCCCCTGTATGTGCAGGAATACTTCTATATCCCTCCTGGGTAGCTCATCACTTAATGCATGTAGGGAAGGTATCACAGTGCATTCACTATACTGATACTGTCAGATACTGTCCCATATGAGAAAAGAACACTTCTCCTCTATGTCTAGGTGGTAAACAGGAGAAGTTTGGGGGGATGGGAAGGAGAGGAGTCTGATAGCTTTATCTCCTTCCAATTGATAGATAATACTTTTCATGTTAAGGAGATCTCAGCACAAGGCCTAGAAGAGCAGAGCAGAGACACATGGGTTTACACCCATATAACCAGTTCAGGAAGCATGCTATGAATTCTACATCTTCTCATCTAAGGTCTCCCCTACAATGTGAACACTACCTCATAGATATTTCGCTCGTCATTTATAGGGTGTTTTTTTTTTTTTCTAAAAAACATACTATTCAGAATTTGAAGTTGCACGTTTCAGTTTAACGAACGAATACCCAAGAAAGGAAACAGGAACGCCTTTAGGGTACTCACTGTCTATCTCAGCAGCAAATTGTTATTTAATGGGACTCTTCCTCAAAATTGAATCTATTAAAGACCCACATCTGGGCATTAATGAAAAAGACTAGGATATCATTCTTCCTCCCTAATTCTTTTTTCCCTAAATTGACGAGAAAAAAAAGTTCAGGAAGGCTCTAACCATTTAGAGCCAGGCTTAAGGAAAATTCAAAACCTACTCAGATGCAACAAAGGCATGATCTTTGATTGCCTGTACCACATCATCAAATTTGATCTTTGTTGTCCGTGTCCATCCATGATAAATGATTGGTTTCCCATCTGGACCATCCCAGCAATCCACTAGGAAAGACAAGCAGAGGAAAAAGGAAGAGACCAAGCAGTTACTTAAACTATTCCAGTAGAAAGAATACAACAAACAGCTAATTCTTCAGTATGAGTCACAGACTCTTATGTTCTATTAAAATATTCTATTAGATGGCTTTATACCTTTCACAGAGGAGATTAAATTCACTTAAGTAAGAGCAATACAAACAAAATACAATATAAAATTTCCTGAAAGCGTTCCTATTAGGGAATCTCGAAATAAGGAATTCATACAGCCTAAATTGTTAGTTCATTAGTTTACATTAATGGTCCAAGTGACAAATAAACTCCCACAAGTGATATGTTGGTAGTTTATCCATTTTGTTGATTATCATCCTGAAACTCTAATTTGAGATACATTTTGCATCAACTAAATTGAACAGGGGCCTTGCTCATTATGACAAAAGTTGATTAACCAGTAGCAACTAGTTTTACAAAGTAACTGGTGAAATAACATGAAAATCAAGTCAAACCTTGTAACCTTGAAATAAGATACACAAGCACAGGGATGCAGAAGCATACACAACTGGTGGAGAACAAAGGCACAAAAACATCAACTGATTTACAAGCAAGTTAAATGGGATGACAAATAACACAAAATTATAAGAAACTCTCAGACTTAGGCTTGTCTATATGAAGAATGAAGGCAACTAAGCTTCTCCTTTAACTTATACCTCTCTCTATACATACTGCACAGGTAATAGGAGTTTAAATCTTATACTTTCATATAGCAAAATCAGTGATTGAATTCCTGGTATACGATGCAGATAAGACTTAGAAAGATTTTCTGAAAATTCCAAGGAAACAACAAGAACTAGAGCAAGCGAACAGGGTAATAGCACGGTCTAAGAGCAATGATTTAAGGAATCAGCATTTCTGAGATGAGTGACTTCTACTTTCAAAAAACAAACCAGTTCTTGATTTCATTTCTTTTTTCTGTCTTAAACAGGAGAAACTGCCTATATGGGGAATGTGTTACAAACCATTCCGCAAGCTCATTACTCACACTCAATACATCGACATCCCATTCTCAGGCACCTGATATAAGCTTCTGTGGAAGATTCACTTCGAAGCTGGTCTCCTGTCAGATATCTAAGGAGCAAAAGGAAACTTTAAGAGAAGGCTGACAGTCAACTTGAACAATTTTCCACTCACTCACTAGGGGACATTTTTCCTCCTGTTATGAAGATTTCTGGTTTTTTGTTTGTTTATTTTTTTTTACTTGCTATGAAAGAACTGGATTTTGCTGAACCAGATGTTATCACATTTTAGGATGGACCAGTTTATGGAACATTAAAGGCTCAATCTAAGGCTCAGCCAACTGTGACAGATTTCTGGAGAGCAAATCACAAGCTCTGAAACATACCCAAGCTTTATCATACTGATGGGAAATCATGTGTTTGAACACAGACACACAGTGGGACTTCTGGTAACTTACGTGTTATGAGAGGAAGAAATCCAGTAGTGGGACAAAGGATTATTCATGTCCTGCACATCTATTGATTCATATTTCTCATCCCAAATACTGTTCTCTTTTGCAAAAAGGTAAGTGAGAAACTGAAACACAAAGAGAAGCAGAATTTAAATGCTTTTGACCATACGAGGCCAGAAGAAATCCAACAACATAGCAACAGCAGCCTAAAGAGTCTCCCATTCAGGCAATAAACCAGGAACTAACAACGAAAGAAAAATGTCCATGAGGAACTATTAGAAAGTATCATTATCTCACCTCATCAACAAAGAGGAAGGGTTCAGCAGTTTCTCTCATAGTGTCATCAATAAACTTTGTCATTCGTTCTCGGACTTTACTGAGATCTTGTGCCCAAGATTCCTAAAAATAATAATTATAAAAAAGAAAAAAGCTTTAGATGTTTTGATATGCTAGATAAAATTAAACGGGGAAGTGAGAGACCTACAGATGTGATTCATTAAACCTCTCTCATCTGGCTATTTAACTGCCAGTATGTTTTACTGCACCCACACATTTTAGTCTCCTATGTCACGTTAAGGGGGAAACAAGTTCTTCATGTAAATACCTCTGTATAGGCTGGAGGCCCACAAGATACGCCCTAGTAAATATATGCATGCACAGAGTAAAAAGCTGACCTTTTTGAAGGATAAAGCACAACTACAGTCTCTCCTCCCTTCTAAGTGCAACCCAAACATTATTTTGACACAGTGTAATTGGGAGAAAAAGAAAGTATCAAGTTCATACAGGAAACGTTGCTCTGACTTTTTTACCGCTATTTGCAAACCTGGGGTTTAGCAGCGCCTAGTAATATCACAAATCTAAAACATATAGGAAGTAAAGAACTGGAGCACAGAAAAGTTCAATGAGCAGTCTCAGAACCATTCCACTATATTCTACTGTGAATGTCTATTCTTAGAGATTGGCCTATATAGCAAAATATATTATTTTTCTCCATGGTGTCTGTGCTAAATAAGATTATATACACCTGTAAAGACAGTTCCAATACCTGCCTCAATCCTTATCTCCTTGCTGGTATGGGGCACCAAACCGTCCCCATTCAAGAGAAAATTACCTTTGACTCAAATCGCAGCAGTTAGCTCAGTTTTTTACATAAGAGCTGCTAAAACAGGGCCATGGATCCAAGGTATGACCAGAGATGCATCTGCAGGGACAGCTGTAACTAGGCCACGATATCATCTTTGACAAATATGCAGTGTTCATTTTCAACTTGTCTGTTTATCTACATGACTAAATAGACACCTGTTAAAACCTTATTCACTGTGCCTTCCTTCTCTTCCCCTAATGCACCTTCAGAGTTTTTGTATGGATGAAAAATAATAATTCCTGTGACCTTCAGTGTCAATGAATAAGAAGAAAACTTTCCAAGATCTACAGTTGCAGGTGATATCAGTTATACTCTACAACACATTAAGTATATAATTCCTTTGAGTATATAAGTCTGTGAGACAACTTAAAGAGCTCAAAATTTCTAAAGCCTTCTCACCTGCTGCTCATGTAGCAGGAATCTCTGAAAGTCATGGAGATGAATTGCTGAAGCATCTGGACGGTCAGTGTTTCTTTAAAAAAAAAAAAAAAAAAGTGAAGCTAAAGAAATAATGAAACAACAGAGTATGTGTCACCAAATGTTATAGCAGAAAGTGACAGGGGTTTGTATCTTGGATTTACAGTATAATCCTGCTGCTACCACTAAAACCTTTCAGAACTTCAATGGAATTTAGATTAAAGTTGTAATATTGAATTATGTAATCACTGTATTTAGAGTCCTCAGATAAGGCCTCCTGGATCCCTGATTCCTTTTTGACAATGATTCATTGGGAAAATTACCGAATCTCTGTTTACTGCTTTGTAGAAAAAGAGCAGCATTCACTTTACAAGGATGTTGTTAACTTTAGTTAAGGCATACGGATATACTGTTTTCTTTTTAATTATGGCAGAGTCATCCCTCTGCAAGTAACTCCTTCCATGTATTATTCAGAAGATCCACAGTGATAAATCAAAATCTGAAAGAAGAGGCAAGATACAGCCACACTGACAGAAAGGAGCACAGCTGCTTCCTCTTTTGTACGATACAAATGCTGCATATTGTACCAATAAAATATTTACAGCCCACCCATCTTTAGTAAACCTAAGGGTTTAAGCAGTCTCATCAAGTTTAATTCACATAAGATGACCAAAGACTAAAAGAAATACATTGTATATTTGGAATAAATTTTTTAAAGCAACTTCCTAAATATGTTAGGATAATATTCAAAGCTAAGATAAACCGGTTTAATTCATGGTCAAGATATTACCCATGCCTGTGACCTCCTTTTTCATGCTGTATACATCTTACTTAGTTCTCAAGTTCACCAAGTAAAAATTGCAGAAACTGTCTAGGTCAGCATCGCACTTGTACCCAAAGTCTGTGCACCATACCACTCTCCATACTGAAGCTAAAATTTTTCCATCAGATTCTGTCCTCTAATAGTTTTGTTCAGCTCTTAGCAAAATTGAAAGGCAGGCAAATTTGCTTGTTGAGGTCTATGTCGTTCATGTAGTTAGGAAGTAAAAAACATTTATCAGATGATATCCAAGACTTGTTTCTATGATAAGCTCACGTTTCTGAATTCAACAAGATGTATCATTTTTTTCCCCCCACTTACTAAAGCATTAGAACAAAAAAAAACAGTGATGTAACTAGAAAAAAAGAATAGGGATCTGTAAGTAGACTACAAAATTCTGCAGCACTGCAATCATAAATACATGTGAAAAATAATACAAAAGAAGAGTCTCACCCAAGAATGAACACAGAGGAATCCTTTTTGAATTCATCAAGAATCTTAAAACAACAACAAAAAAAAGAACAAAAGGGGGAGATAAATAATAAAGGAACATGCAATTCTCAATCTATTAATAAGCATTGCTTTGGGAAGGGGACCAAATATGAATTTCCACTTTATAGAAGTTGCATACAAGTTGGAAAGGTATAACTTCAGTTGACTGGATAAGAGAAAACATACTGTCAAGGCTGACAATTGCACTTCAGGCCCTTCAATGTGAAAGCATGCAATTCTCAGGCAAGAAACTTGCCATAAGGTACCTTATACACACAGTCAAGTTTCTGGAGAAGTTCTTATCGCTTGATATCCCAGAAAAAATGGAAGTACTTATCTTCCATCATATTTATGCATTTGAGCATAAAACCTAAATTGCTTCCAGCTTGGATCAGCATAGTTACAGATCCCAGGAAACCCTTCACCCGACACGTAAGCAGTTATTGAGCAAACTGAAGAGCTTCCTTGAAATGATCCACAAGGGGCGATAACAACAGTTTAAGGAAGTCAGACAACCTCCTTATTCTGTGTTTTACCCTTAGACAACTTTTTGCTCAGGCTAATTAACTAGATTTTCAGGAGTAAAAACAAAACCCAGACAGTAAATGGAGATTCTTTACTATCTCAGAATAATTTCATGATCACTTTTAACCAGCACAAGAAAGCACTATTGCCAAAAGAAATAGCACCGACTTTTGTTATAGAAGCTTCTATTTTAACAACTGCAAGTCCAGTCAATAATATACAAACATCATCAATTAAGATATTTGTGTGAATAAGTTAAAAAAAAATAGTTGTTTTCACACAGTTATAACGGCTTCTAAATTTTCAGGATCACTAAATATGTGCAGGGACCACCAACTTAATGAATCTATGTAATGAACATATGTAGAACAGTAGTTGGGCAGTTGCCCATATAAATTAGTGAAATGTAATTCCACTGCATTTATGTGCTCCCAAGGACTCCCTAAAGCACATCATGCTGCGGACTCATCACTGGTTATCTCGAAGCACAGGACACAAAGACAGCAATAGGTGCTATTTGATGTTCAAGATATATCCCAGTGCAATTTACAGAATGTTCTTTGCAATACAAGATACGGAAAAACATTGCTTCTATCAGTAAATAAAACAACCAGACCTGATGTAAGGACACACTGTACACTGAACGAACTCATAAGAAAAGCTCTTCCTAGAAACTCCATTTCTTTTGTGCATCTCTCTACTACCAACACAGGAGAAACAACATAAAGGACTTATCTTCCTAAACCAATTACTGATGGTGACTGTTTCCTATATGTCCAGTACAGTAATATAAGAAAAACCCTTTCTATGTTACAAGAATGGGAAAAAAAACCAAATACACACACACAAAAGACCCAGCATTCACTCTTTATTCTGGCCAAGCAGTTTAAAAGTATGAAGATCACTCATGAAAAAGCTTACCGACTTCTGTTGTTCAAACATGATTTTCTTGTAGAACAAATGAAATTGTTCAAAACTAAGTTCTTCCTTGTGAGCACCTATTTCCTGTGATAGAAAGTAGCATCCAGTGAATTTTGAATTATCTGAATTGCATTTGTACAGCAAACAAGTTATTCCAAGTGCAACTCTCTTAAATAAATAAATAAAGTAGAACACAATATGTATTTATTTTTTAAGAATATGAACCGATAAACAGCCTCTTGGTTTGTAACGTACTGCTCCTAGCCCACATCTCTGGCCTTACATTTTACATACTAACTCCATTTCCACTAAGTTACTGAGAGTAAAGTAGTGCCTCAGTCAGTCATTGTCAGTTGGAGCAACAAAAGCAAGAATGCACGCTTTAAGGGTGGAGAGCTGGAAAGTAGGAAAAGGTGGAGATCTTTACAATTCCTGAAGGACTGGAAAAGACCTTCAGAGATATTAATATTACCATAAGTGGGAGGGGGAAAGTTATTACTTTGATCATGCAAAAGAATTCTTATTCTTAGATAATAATTTTTTATCTTGAATCATTTCCTATGCATCTGCACAGTTAGCAGCAGCACAGATCCAAACCCATTTTTGGTTTTTAGGAAATGTTAGAATGAAAAGTAGGAACATTTAATCTGTATTTTCTTAAAGTCATGACTATATACAAAGCCAAATTTGTAAATTAAGTGCTATAGTTTTTAGTACATTTACCTGTACTGAAACAAAAATTACAGACAATACCCTGAACAGAAATAGCAACATCTATGAGATAATATCAAACAGAGGTAAGTTATTAGGTAATTACCGCAAATTTATCCTTCAAGAACTTCATGCTGCTCACTTTGAAATTTACTTGGGGAAGGACAGTTTTCAGCTCTCTAAGACTGATGCTGAAAAACAAGAGAGCAAAAAAAACAATAGTTCTGTTTCATCCAGCCAGCTACTAATACATTTTCTATCAACACAATAAAGTGACTATTGAAACATTTTAGGTAAGATTCACCTCACGTAAACCCTTATAACATCTACATCTGAGCAAGCTAGATGTATTTTCTAGTCAGTAGGGAGAAATAGGCATTTCACCTATTTTGGCCATCCATATTAGGATGAAACAAATCGTGCTGCAGAGACACTCATTTCTCTCCATTAATTAGATTCTATTAATCAGATCTAGACAATCAGCTCAAATGCAGATGTTTAAGTGGTCAGATGAATTGCAGCATTTCTTCCATAGTTTCAGAATATCCAGTGGTATAACAGTATCAGCAGAACAGCGTTGACTAAAAAACAAAAAAAAAAAAAAAACTTTTCCAGATGGCAGTGGGACTTTTCAAGTAAGATATACATATTTCAGACTTTAAGCAACACAGTTTATATTAGAAACAAAAATAGTCCATTTCATAACTGTGAATAGCTCATTTTGAAAAAAACAATTTCCTTCACATCTTCCTGTTCTCTCATCAACCTCAGATTTTACTTCCAGTCTCTCAGCTACTACTTTTATGGCCTCTTTAACTGCAACCTCAGAGCAGCTCACAATTCTTAGTGTACTTATCCCCAAAATATAAATGGGTGGTAGAGGAGTGCTATCATAACTCTTGTATGAGTAGAGAGGGTTGATTTCTAAAGGAGCTAGGTACCTAAATATTTAAATGAGTTATTGGTGTGATCAGCCACTACAGCTGAGTCAATCTAATAGCTCACCGCTGCTACAAGAAGTAACTCCAACCCCTGCACTCCTTGTGCCCCGCTCCTCTCCCCTGCTGCCCTTGTCCCACCTGTTTCCACATGCCAGCTCTGATACTCCTCAAACCCTTTACTAAGCTGATGCAACATGCTGATCCTGCAGAAAACTGAATAAAAGAGAAAAGAGAGAAAGAAAAAGTTTTCCACTGGCTTCACGCGCTGAATCAGCCCACCTCATCAGCATCAGCCCCCCGCAGATCAGCATCATAGCCAGAATATGGGAAGTGGCAGGAGCGCCTGATTAGGAGCAAGTAAAGACAGCGGATGAAAAAGGAAACAGTAAGACCTCGACCATTCGGCAGCACCAGGCTGGTACACCAACTCAGCCATCTTGAGTAGCTCCACTTCAGTGACCTACTATACAACTTGTCTTTGGCATAGAAAGAATGGAAATGAGGTCTCATGTTCTTGCAGAGATCCTCAAAGTCTGGGTAGGTTCTGGTGTGGGGTCTCAGTGGGAAAGACATAACATGAAAGCAGGACATGTGAAGGGCATGAGGGGAGTAATGATACAAGGGAACAGAGGCACAGCATCAATGGCTGCTACTGCCACTGCCCACAAAACATTAATTCAATACCAACAGTTCCCAAGAAAACAAGGCTAAGGAGCTCTGCCTTGACCTACAGAGAATTCATAAGTCATTAACTCTGTGCAAACACAGTGTCAGAACAGAGTCACTCGAAAGCAAAAAACAGCAGTAATTAGCACCTAAACTAAAGTCATGCTTTTATTCTACAAACTGTTTAGGCAAGCAGCTGCCCTGTGAGATATTCTCATCCCCATTGTGTAGACAGGGAAAGCGGCCAAGCAAGGAGTGACTTAGCCAACATCCATGCCAGAGCCAGATTAGAACTCCGGAAATTCCTGGCTTTCCGCCCTGTCGCCAGACCTCTGGAAAAACACTTCTTTTGGGAGCAAAAATGAGCACCTCATTTGTACCCTAAACACTTGAGTACAAGCAATTTCCTCTGGTCAGACAAGCACAAGCTAAAACAAAGAGCTGAAACATCATTACCACTGGCAAAAACTCGACTAGTTAAACAGGACTGGCATGGAAGCCTAACCTTTCCAATTAACCTCCCTAGAAACTGCAACACTAAACACAATGGAACTCAGTTCAAACTCCTTTCCTGAAATTTTCTAAAGCTGTGAATCATCTAGCAAGAAAATGAAAAACTGCCATCTCCACAGTGCAAGTCCCCTTGATCCTAAGCAGACTGCCTTGTAGTGAAAGAACAATCCTAAAGCATCAAATGAAACCTCCTCAAAGGACATACACTGTCAGATAAAGCTTCTCTACACTAACATTTGTTTTTGCTTCACGATCTCCCACCCCTACTGCAGGACTAGCTTTTCAAAGTGCATCAGGAGGTGTTAAAGGCAGAGGGTACTTTGCCCTTTCCCACTCTGGCTGGCTTTAGAAATGCTGTTCCTGAAGTCGTCTCAGGTCACAATGAAGCCAGCTACACTGCACCACAGCAGACACACCATTTGCAGAATGGTGTTGTTTCCTGCAGTAACGTGGTCTCACTAACACAATGAAACACTATGCCTTATTTTGCTTTTAGGAAAAGATTTAAATGAAAGGAAATGCATGTTCTTTTCTCCACTAAAGTACACCTCAGAAAAACAGAATGTTACAGAAAGAGAGCAACATCATGGTAAAGTAACATATACATGGCACAGGAGGAGTTAACATCCTTTGCAGTGTTCCACAACTTCTGGCAACTCTAATGAGAAGTGTGCCGCTGAATTCATTAAGAAGTCTCTGGTGCTAGGCAAAAGATACGAACCCACTTCATACACAGACCTGAAACAAACTACTGAAACTCAAACATATGGAGTACACAGCACACGGGGAGCTACAACATAATGGGGCTTCTTCACATGAGAAGCATCAGTCCAGAGTCACTTTGGTCTCTCAGAATACATGGCAAAGAGACAAACCCACACAGCCAGGCCAGTTGCACAAAATTACGTTTACCAAAGCAAGCCCTCAGAAAATGATTTTGCCCTTATTCCAAACCAGTAACTTGGCTTCCTCCTGCTTCTGTCCTCAAGAGATGTCTTCTGTTTCCCACTGTTAAAATAACTCTCTCATGCTGTACTACCCTGCCATAACAATAGTCCTCTTTCTCTCCAGTAAAATCCTTAGGTATCCCTCTCTTATCTCCTCTCCCTCTAAATATTCTGTGCTCTTCTTCTCAGAAGAGAACAGAGCTCTGGTCCCCTGTGGTCCCCAGGTTACTGCTGGGACAACCTTGTCTCTGGATATATCTGGAGTAGCTGCTGTGACTGGTTTCAAACTAGGTACTGCACCTATTAGTAATGTTCTAGCCCTATCAGGACTGAGACCAGGGAAGGCTAATCAGTCAAGCATTTTACCCTGGACCTTTAGCAGCCCAACTCTGCTTTTGCAGCTTGACTGTTATGAGTGCACAAACAAGTTTTTCAAAGCTGGTTTGGATTTGTCTGCATTAGACTGCAGTCATTCCAACACAAAAATGCTTCAGCAATGAGGGAAGACCTGGTTGAATGCTGCACAGCAAAACTAACAGCAAACAGCAGTCCATACTGCTGGGCTCCGACTTGACTGTCAAAGGAGAAAGACTTCTGTAAAGCAAGCAACCGAATGTAGCCGCACAGCTGAGCTGAACCACTACGGTAAGAGTGAGGGAAGACAATGCTCTTTCCTTATGCAGGCAGGGTTATTTTAGACTAAAAAGTAAGATGGTTTATTTTTCATCATTTTCTTCCTCGTTATATCACATATGAACATCAATGAGCATTATGCACCTTATGTGTTTATCAGAAGGTTAAAAAAAAACAAGTTGTCAAAGCAACAGTGAACAATTTTCAGGGCGCTCTCATATTTCCCATCTTGGCCAAAGAATTATTCTTCTCTTTGCATTCCACATTAGAGTCTACAAGGAAAGAGCTCACTAAAAACAAATCAAAAATGAAGAGGGAGAGCTTCTTACCTATTTCTTCTAGTTTGATCAACAGAATAGATCTGCTTTCTCAGCCAGCTTGGGGAAAAAGGAAAAAAGATTTAATCTGAGAATTAAAAAGAAAACACAGCCCAACGGAATATCAAAATCCAGAGATGAAATTCAATAGAAATATTTTAAAATTAGAAAATATGTCTTTTAAAAAAGCTAAAACATTTCCAGTTGCAACATCAAAGCATTCAGTCACTTTTATAACACTATTTATGAATAAATACTTTTCTGCTGCTTAGTACTGCATTTTCAAGCCACATAGCACAGGAAGGGGAAAGGCAGGGCAGAAAAGAGCAAACAGCCAGAAACTGTAAAAATGTAAGCAGATAGAACAAGCCAAAACTTCAGCTAATGTAAATCAGAATAACTCCATCGAGTCAGTGATTTATGTCAGCTGAGGCCACTGGCTCAAAGGTCTGCCACATGCATAAAATTAAAAATTTGGGGGAGAAAACAGAATTTTTAAGAAAAATCATAGTTAGAATGCATGTCAATTTTAGGTGCACAGCAAGATAACATTAGCAGTATTAAAAGTCCAAACACACACAATTTTGGTCTAAATGATAATCACAGCACGCCATTAACAACCTTGTATTCTGCCTCCAAGGGAAACGCTTTGTCTGCAGCACAAATGTAGTCACCTTTGGAACGCAGCACTTCCTATAACTGCTCCTCGCAGAAACATATAACAGATAAGGGCAGAAAGCAAAGAATGCTTTTTCCCCAACTGGAACTGGAAGTCGGCAAAGGCAACATCAGAATCAAAGCCACATTTTGGACAGTTAGTAAGAAAGGACAGGTTATATCCTCACAGCAGGTAACAGCAGTGACTCACTACAAGCAAAACGTCAACAGTGATGAAAAATAATCGAGCATAGAGACCGTATTAAAAGCGTTTTGCAAAATTGGAATTCTAGGCATAAGTAGTTTTGAGTATGAGTAGTTCTGAGTTCAACATCCTCTGAAGCACTAAGGTTGTAGTTTCACCATCATTTGGTGCTGAAGCTGCTGAAGACTAATCCTCAAAAATGTTCATTTTCAGCCTAGCTCTTGCAGTCAATTGACAACATTGCCATATGATGCAACAGTGCCAATACAAAGGAGAAATTGTAATAGGGCACCTGAGAATTACTGAGATGCAAGAGCTCCAATAAGGGCTTCTATTAGCACAAGCCTATTGCGATAGCATTAGGCATATGAATTTTTCAAGAAGTCAGCATACACTTAGACCAGATACTCTTGTGATCTCATTAAGAGATACATTTTTTTTGGATGCAAAGAAAAAGGCAAATAGTTAAGCCCATAGTGGTATAAGCAGAGTGCAATTCCACAACAGGTACATAGCAAAATGGACAAGGTGAATTTCTACATGAGCTTTCTGTATCATAAACTAACTGAAGAGTAGTTGTTTTTAAGGTAACTGACAGGCACCACTTCTTGCATTTTAAAAATTGCTTCAGGTTTTCTACTTTCAACTCCAAAGAGACGTCAGGTCTCACAATGTGAAAGAACGTCCACATACCTCTCTGTGATTGCAGGTGTGGGAGCGCTTATGACTTCTTGATACAAGATATTCAAGCCACATAGCCATTTATCAGCATCATCTTTAGAATCGGCTGGAGGAGGAAAAAAAAGAAAAGAGTATGCTGTAAGAAACATCAGTCCCAAACCAAGACATAACTTGCTGTGTTTAGATAAACCCCAGCATACAGAGCTGCAGGTTAACCTTTGTCTCGCAGGGCTAGCAGAGTTAATTCTGGAAGCTCTGTCAAAAATATCTCCTTTTAAAATTCTGCTTATCAGAGTAGGTGAATTTCAATATTACAGCAGAAAGACTACAGAACTATTGCTAAGCTCTTTCAGTAACAAAATTAAACTTTTTTTTCCCCCCTCATCTTTTGTCTCCAAAGTGTCCAAAGCCCAGGGACCTAGACTTACAGCCACAAGAAGCACACAGACAAGAGAACTCAGGATGTTTTATTCTAACCCTAGTCCACAATATTCCAAGCAAGCTATAAGAAAATTTTAAAGCGTCAGCTTTTGACGGACATTACCAGCTCCTGTCTGTCATAATCGTATCTCCAAATACAGACTGTCCCAGACTAGATTTAGGCAAGAGAAACAGAAGGGAACAAGGTATGAAATTAAGGTAACTGATTTATAACACATTCTAATACAAGGTAAGTTTAGAAAGGTCTAAAACTGCCCACCCAGATGTAACATTACAGTTGAGGTGCATCCTCCTTCCAACCCTACAAACTGGTTTACAACTGTCTTGTTTTGTTTTAAATTTAGTTTGCCTTTACATTTCCCAGATTAGAAGAGTCTTCTGTATCATTTATCATGATTACATTTGGTAATGCTTCAGCTCAACAGAAGTAAGATGATGCATGCTGGGAACAGCCTTCTCCGGGGAATACTGGTTAAGCTGAAAACAGGATTTTTTAGCCTTGGATGAGACGCTGTCTTTACAGCTTTCATTTGGGCAAGTCCATTTCTTCAGCAAGCTGATTCTGAAAGTCATGAAGGCATTCTTCAACTAAACTTGAAAAATTAATTTAATAATTTGAAAAATTATTTTCACACAGGGGCTCTAATCTGGGCAAACTCTTTAACTGTCTTCAAAGCAAAACAGTCTCTCAAAGGATGAAGATTACATTTTATTTAAATATACTTTAAAACAATGCTATATCCCCCCAAGGATGAAGCTAGAGCCCAGTCTCAAATCCCCATGGAAATGTTTTTCAATTAGTTAAGTTTTTGGAAAGAACACCCACCACCAGTGCCAAACCAATTCTTCTCCCAAGGCAGTTCTGCCCTTTATGAAAGCCTCCATTCCCTTCTAAGTAACAATTACTTTATATTGTTTTAAGAAACCATGACAAAGTGCTTTAACAAGGAAAAGGATTTCCCCCTTAACTGAAAATTGTATCAGTCGTGTTGCTCTGCAGTTCAGCATTACGGCAACATTCCTACTGGTAGCAAGTGTTTTCAAAGTATTGGCAGAGACCTGTTTTTGAGAATCGCCTGGGGCAGTGAGGGAGGGCAGAGGAAACCAATCTAAAGTACCTGGCACAGTTACACTTAAAGCACAGCTGTTTACTCAAAATTTTCACAGACTTCATCCAAACAATGGTAAAAATCCATCTGAAGTTAAAAATCTATTACATAGGACTATATTGTCACAAGCAGTCTTTAACTTCCAGTGCATCAGACTGAAAAAACAGGCTTCTAGTGCTGCAATCTATAAGCAATCAGTTCTCACACACAGATGAAACATTTGCTACCTGTGTAGAAGTACATCACTTCTAATTAAAAAAAAAAAAAGTCTAGTGCTAGAAAACTTAGAAAGCACTCCTAACTTCTCTAATTAAGGTTTTGCATTGAATTTAATGTTTACAAAACAGGTAAGTGTGTTCCTGCACAGGACAGAGGGAACTGCCATTCCAAGTAAGTGGTCTGTGTGACTCTAAACCAGGGACCCATCAAGAACTTTTAAAGGAGAAATCTCTCCGTAAACTTTACTAGTTAGAAACCGCATTAAGCCTGCACTATAAGAACTTACGTTCCTTTTCATTTCAAAATTGTTGTTTTTGTAACCCTGGATGATCTCACCTGAAATAAAGTGTCTCAAGCCTTTCCACAGATAAAGCACACGTTTTCCTCTGTTTCATATGTATCTCTTTATTTTCACTTTGCCACCTTTTAATTTCATTCGCAATCCCTCATCCTCCTTTAGAGGATGTTTGTTTAATATTTTCAGGTGACATGCATACACAAGCTGAACTAGAGTTTAATTTTCCAATTCAGTCTGCAATTGCTCCTAAGTGATACGCAAGTTTCCGTGATGCAGTTGTAGTCTAACTCTTTATAGCTATCCTTTCCAGAATCATTTTGACCAGATTGAAATGCCAGGCCAAAATTCTGGCTGCAGAGAAGATGAGAAAATCCTCTGCTGATTTTAAAGAGGAAAACATTTCACCTCTGCTCTTCAGTGTTGAAAGCCTTACATGAGATACTTAACCAGCAAAAGCTCACATAAGTGGATGAACCAGAAACTATGCCAAAACCTCTCTCATTTTTATTAAAGAGGTCTCAGGAAGCAATGTATTGAAAGAAATGCATACTAAGAGACTATACTACTTATTGCTGCTTAAATAGTAGCTGTCTTGTAGTGAGTGGCATGCATTCACTTTTAAAGATGCAGCGGTGTTGACCTGCAGAGCATTAGACTGACTGCAGACTGACTGAATCATGTGCTATACGCCCTTAAGTTACACAACTGTTTTGTTTAGATAACATAAGGGAAATAAACTCTCATATAATACACTATTTGAAAGCAAAACATTAAAAATGCAGCAGTTCATACACATTAAGGGCTGGCTTAGTGAAAGGTCTCTCTCAGATTGTAAACATCAGGTGCACTGTTGAACCTCAGGATAGGTCAGAACAGCAGTACACTTTGCACTACTTTTCCATCGGACCTACTCGGTTCCAGAGTTCAGTATCTAGGTTTAAAGGAGAAACAAAGGAGGAGGGAAAAAAAAAAAAAAAAAAGTACCTGCTAAACTTAAGGTGTTGAGGACAAACTGGGTACCATAAAAAATAGTAAAGCAGTGTTGTTCTTTTTGCTTTGCTTTGCCACGCTCAAAGTCTTTCGAGTTCTTTCCTGGGCGAATTTCCTTTATTTCCATCAGATCCACTGTAAGGAAACAACATTGACTCAGTCAATACAACTGTGGTTACATTCCAGCTGAGCCTGAAACAATAAGAAGAACATCTCAGAACATGTAAAATTAACTTATAGATGGCATTTGGACAGGAAATGGAAATTGCGCTAGCCCGCAATCCAAATCTTCTCTGACAACACTATCTAAATGTATTACTGACTAAAAGGCAATAGTAGAGAAGGACCAAAAGAAGAAAATAACTTGTCATATTTTTATCATTTGATTATCGTTGACTCTCCACCAAAGTTTATATACATAATCTTGGGGGGGTTACATGGTTTAACAAATGACATTTACCCTGAGCAAGAACTTTCCAATTGACATGCCAACTATTCAGAGACAAAAGAGATGCAACATCTAACTTTATCCACCTAAAAATTATATACTGAATCTTAGCTAGTCAGATAGCCTCCCAGTACAATCACTGGCATCTGTAAGAAGAGTGTTTAAAATAATTATATTAAGCACCTTCCAGAGTTCGAAGAGAGAATCCAGCCTCATAATTAAAACATTTATCAGCCTTTTCCTGGTCAACTCCAAACAGATCTTTATCTTTTACATAGCAGAATGGGAAAACCGTGCAACAACAACTTTTTTTTTTTTTTTTTTTTTAAAGTCAGTTCCCCCTTTATCAAACCCTTGCTATATGGCCTGCATAATACTAGCAAGGCAGCACTGAAATAGAAATATGTGCATTCTCAAGATAAGATACTTATTAGAAAACTGAGGAAGTGGTTTTGTTCTGCCTGTGGACCGGACAAATACACAGTTCTTCCCACTTTTGGACAATCTTGAGTTATGAGCAACAGAAGGAAGAGTGAAGAAAACATTTCACAGCTGCTCTCAAAATGTGTTTATCAAGCCTAACAAGACCCAAGAAAATGGCTGAAGGTTTCTGTCTATGCATTTAACAACTCTGCAATATAAAAGCCATGTTTTAAACGAGCACCTCATCACTAGTAGAACATACTTAATAACGCGCAATGAAAAAACAACAAGACTCCTAAGAGAGGGGGAGCTGAGCACTATTTAAAGCTTAGTTCTGCAGAATGTTGCATTTCTTTGGCCAAAGTGGAAGGGAGGGAGAGAGAAGCAAGGAGTTTCATCAATAAAATCTGGATAATGAAACATTAATCAATCTAGGAATTTCTTATTCTTTACAAAGTATCCCAGGCTAAACTTTCCATCTGGCACTTCTTATCCCCAGCCATTAACTCAAGTTCCCATGGAAAAATTGGACGTTAGCAGTCAACCTGAACTTTAATGCATTGTACAAACATAAAACAAAAAGATTATCCTAGGGCACAAGCATCTTAATTAAGCTTTTCCTGGTATAATTATCTTCAGGGTACAGCATCAAATGTCTCAACCTCTGTGTCTTAGTCCACCAGAAGAACATCCTCCACAAGCTGCATTATCTGGATGGCTAATGTTAGGCCCCTAAATTTAGATGCAAGCTCCTAAACTATATACATGGCATGATTTTCACAAACGGTCCACAGTCAAAAGCTCCCAATGATGTCGTGAATCCTCTAATATTTGGGCCTCTCATTTAGATCCACAGCTGTATATCTAGATATCCACCCCAAAATGCCTGTACCTAAAAAAGATGGTCTAACCCTACCTCTCCGCAAGTATTTCACATGAATATCAACAGAGACGAACCAGGATGCAGAGATAGAAAGTAACTACATGGAGAGAGGAGGAGGTGGCATGGCCACAAACAACATGGGATTGTGCCCTCCCCACTGACTCATGCTGGTGATGGACAAGAGCCACCTCAGCCACCTTCTCTCCCTTCCTTTCACCCAACAAATGCCTGCTGGGAAACACAATTTTTAACTCGGAAACGGAGCATACCTTTCATTTCGGGCTCCCGTAATTCTATATGTATGAAACACCATACCAAAAAGATCCCCTCAAAGCATAAACTCAGCAGCGATAAGAAAAGATTTCACAACCTTCCTTGCTGTTGTCACTTCAAGTGGCTCTTACCTCATACTGAGCTCTGAAACAAACACACAAACTTGCTTAATGCCTTCCCTCAGTTACACATACACTCACTATATTTCTTTTCCTTGCCCTATAACCTTTCAAATCTACCATCCCATTCTCTTGTTTGAATAACACACATATATGCACATGGACTTTTACATGCACAGGTTTCACACTGGTGTTGCTATTCTCCTATTCTTGTTTTATTTACACTTTTTTAAGGACTGGATCACAAGGGTAGATGCTGTTAACAATAAAAAGAAGTGTAAAATAATTGTAACTTATTTTCCTTCCACAGGCTAATAACCAATTCAAACAAAATTATATCCATCTTCTTGGATGGATATAATAATAATATTGAGTAATATTCAGTAATATTGAACTGGTAAAATCTGTGCACCTAAAAAGGCCTTATAGGAACCATACTGCTATTATGGGAATAATAGCATCAAGTGTGCTTTAGAACAAGTTCAATTTCAAAGCACATCGTAAGACAAACATACTATTGTTTCTCCAACTTGTCTTTGAGAAAGAGATTACTATACCCTAACTGCTAAACATTCAGTAGACAGAGAAGTGGTTCAGGAAGAAAACAAACAAACAAACAGACAAAACTCCCACCTATATAAGAGAAAATATTTATAAGACTTTGAATTCAGAATTTTATGCTCCTGTACTTTTCAGGCAACATTCTATATGGAGCTGTCCAACAAAATTCTGGCACAGTACCTTTAGAGTGAATTTGTGAAACAGATACATGAAATGCTATGTGTATGAAAACATCATTCAGATTTTTACAGTCCGAAAGATATAATTCCATCTTATAGTTTCACAAAACAAATAGAAAATACATGTATATGTTTTAACTCTGTTCTATAAGATGTGGTTTTGTATGTATTACTCTGTATTGTTGAAAGGAAAGCCAAGGCTAAAAACTGGAAGGGGCAGAGAGACATACAACAAACACAATACGCATAAAACTCCGCTCAGGTGCTAAGCTCTGCTGTCTCCCCAGGGACATTCCAGTTGTTTGGCACTCTCCACACAACGCACGTGAAGTCTACTATGAGGAACGGCTGATCTAACTGGGAAAGGAACAGCCAGGAAAATCTGCAGCATGTTTCAGACTCAGATGAGCAAGTCAAGTGTTCCAATTTAGCTGTTAAGCAATTACTGTGCACTTTTTATATGAAGTACTAGAACCTTTCTTCTCAATCACACATTCAAATTGCAGAGCCATATTCTGCCCTGCCTTCGCAGACACATACCCCTGGGCCTGACACACCTGAAAAAGTGCAGACCTGGACGTAGGCAGTTTGCCAAGTGTAAGATCAAATCGCATATGCTTGCAGGTGCAAGTTCCATAAAACAGTAACAGATTAACACTTTTCCCAAGAAAATATAAATCAAAGTAAATGCTGCAGAGAAATTGATTCGCAGTCAGCAAGACAAGGAGGGTACTCCCAACACGCTCTGTACCCATCCAAATACTTAAGAAGCCTAGAGCCCAAGAAGTAGTCTAAAAATCCAAGGCTGCTGGTTTACATTTAATCCATTCTTCTGCATGGTTATTTCTATGGGTTAAAAGGATCTCCCTGACAGTCTCATCAGTCATCTGCTGGTTCTGTCAACTCCCTCAAGCGGAAGGCTCCAAGGCACCTTCAAGTACTATGCTGTTCCAGGCTCTGAGCTGGATATGTGGTATTGGTGGCTTTCAGAGGCAGCTCAGAGCCTGAAGTTGCTAAACTTCAGCTTTTGCTGTTGGGTAAGTCAGCTAATTCAATGGATCATTATACTACTACATAGCTACTTTCCAAAGACTGCACAGATTAATTGCTTTGTGTCTTCCAGAGCACCTACTAGAGCTCTTTACTGCCTCAAATTTTGCAATAAACTTTTATCTTTGATATCTCTGCTGAATTCCATTCAAATAACTTAACAACAGAAGTCACATTTAGTCCTTTGTTGTAAGTATGAATTACTAGTACCTTTCTTGCAGTTATATTCAGAGGTAGATGGTAAAACAACTTGGATTCCATTACAAAAGGTGCTTTCAAGTTACGCAGAAGACATGGCATAAGGTAAGTGCAGGCAGCCAGTGATGTAAACAGGAGAACTGTAAACATTATATTGTTGTATATAACAACATTCCACATCATGCTCATTCCACAAGCACTTTAAACTGGAATAAACCAGCACTGCTACTCCAAGGAAGCAGTTCTGCTCCTGCCCGCTGCCTGCAGTCACGCAATGCCCATCCCCTGTGGCAGTAAAATCATTCAGCAGCCAAACAGACAACTGGGTTAGGGAACCGACCCTGGTTGACGCTAACCAGTACCAACAACAGAACCGCTTATGCTACCTGAAAGTGCCCATGTAAGTTCACTGTAGGAGTGAATGTTTCCATAGATCAGCTTTGCTCCGGTAAGGTAATTCAAGGCCGGAAAGTCATGCAGATTGTAAATAAATGCCATGAAAACAGAAAACTTTACAGGCTATCAACCTAGCAAGTTACCCTTGACAGAAGAGTCCTGGTAAACAACGCAAAGGAGAACTGATAGTGACATTAGGGACTATTTTACAGAGGGCTGTAAGATAAAGCTCCTGATTCAAAGTCCAGAGTCCATAGGAGCATGCCAGTGGCTGTGGCTGTAAGTGAGGCCTGTATCAAAGCTCAGATGTATGTATTTAATGGAGGAGGAGGAGGAGCAAAAGCCTACAGAGAGATTCGAAGGGGGCTTACAGAGTCAGAAATCAGGCCACGAGCATCACACACTTCATCAGGTATTTTCAACAACAGTGTCAGGAAAGATAAAGATAAAGGGAAACTCTTGACACTATTTCAGAGAGGAAAAATAAGGGACTCTGGTCACCCAAGTGGTGTGGACTGAGACACAGGGTGGGAATTCTCTATATGAATACAGTCACATTGTCATTTGTGTATATATAGTAACATTTTGCACAAGAGCTAGTTTTC